GGACCCAGGCACACTTTACTACTAGGCTACCCCCCTATTTTTATTTCATATTTTTAGACAGGGTCTCACTAAGTTCCTGAGGGTCTCACTGAGTTGCTGAGACTGGCCTCATACTTGCAATCTTCCTGCCTCAGTCTAGCAAGTTGCTAAGATTATAATTGTGTGCCACCACATCTAGCTTCAGAGAACACATTCTTTTTGTCTACAAATTGCTCTGTCCATGACTGAGGAAATAAATTTCTATCATTTTACATATTAATAAAGTTGATACCCTAAATATATTTTTTTACTCTCAAATGGGCATATTAAGTTCCTGGCAGAGGTATAACAATATACCTAAATCACATTTTTTAATGAGTGGCAATAAAGAAAACTAAACATATATTGAATGGGAATGTGAACCAAATAAAATGTCATTAATATGCACAATATAAAAGGAAGATGAAAAATATAGAGAAATAAGAGGAAAAGAAGCAAGGAGGGACAAATTAAAGAAAGATCAAAAAAAAATGAAAATGAGAATGACAAAAGAAAAACGGAAGGAAGGGAGGAAGGAAGGGAGAAAGAAAGTAAGTTAATATTGAGAATAAAATAGAAAACATCTTTATTAATTCATGTTTTTCTTAAAGGTTTTACTAGATCTAAAATTTTGATGTGTTCGACTATAATCTCTACTAAGAAAAAAATTCAGGGCTTTCTATAATGCTTAGTTAAGCAGTTGAAGAGATGTCAAAAAGGGGATTTCAGTTCTACTTAATAACTCACAAATTGACCTTATAATGACTCAAGCACATGACTTTAGTGGACTGACCATTGCTTCAAATATTGGAGAAAAGAACAAGGGGAAATTCTGGATTTCACACTATTCAGAATTTTGAGTCTATTAAATAAAATGAAAGAGAAAGAGGCAGGTAAAAAGGGGTGGCCAAAGCACAAGTGGGTGTAATGACAAGAAGATGCTATAGTCCAGGGCATATTTAGTTTTCCTACTTCAAAGAGAAGAAACATGTGGCTTCCACAAAACCCTTAAATAGGATATTTAAGACAAAAGCAAACAGAGCTGTCTATTCTTTGTTTTAATGTAAATATATTTTTATTTGTTCTTTTGAGATATACATGATACCAAACATAGCCACATCAATGTCTATAGCAGCTGAATTCACAATAGCTAAGCTATGGAACCAACCTGGGTGCCCTTCAACATATGAACTAATACTGAAAATGTTGTACATATAAACAAAGGGATATTATTCAGACATAAAGAATGAAATTATGACATTTGCGGGTAAACGAAATGGGACTAGATACTATCATGCTAACTGAAATAAGCCAATTCCAAAGAATCAAAGGCAGTCTATTCTTTATAAAGTACATTATATTTTACCTGATTAGGAAGACCATATGGCTAAACACTGGACCAGGCAGGAAAACAAATTTGATTACTGATCGTGGCCTTTCAAAGCACAATTTAGAACTGAAAGAGCTCATTAAGCACATAACTGAACAAAAAAAGAAAGACTAAAGAATTTAAGTTTGGATGACTGAAAAAAAATTCTGTCACATAGGTAGTCAATTATGTCAATTGAAATGTTGCCATTTGTCATCATTTAGTGGTTCAGAGCTGTCATTTAATTATTATTTGTGGTTTTTCCACCTTTACTGTTTTTGCATCCTGGATTAAATTTTAAATACTTGATAGATTTTTTTTTCCTTAAATTACTATACTAGAAGAGGATCTGGTAGACTTTAATACATATTTTGTGAGCTTATGTTTGAATAACACCATAATTTTAATATTTTTCTTCCAATATTTCAGCTCTTTTGAGTATTTGTGCCATCTAGAACTGTGGTTGAGTACATGATCTGCAGTCAAACTGATCAACTGTTACCCTACAATACCTACTTTTCAGTTTTATGTAATTAGGTAATAGAATAATAGAACTTGTTATATATATTCTTAGAGTGATATTAGAAAATACATGCAACATTATACATATTCTGTCTTTTAACATTAGTTGTTTTTATTGTAAATATTTTCAATCAAAATTTCCAGAACTAAAATTTTGAAAGTAGCAAACATACTTTAAAAAATCTAGCAAAGATGCTTGGCTTTAATTAAAGGAATGTAGTAGAAAACATTCATTTTTATTTATCTAAAAATAAGTGAAATAACCCAATCCCAAAGAACCAGATTTTCTGGTTTCTCTGATATGCAGATGCTAATTCACAAGGGGAGGTGCTAGGGAAGAATAGAGGTACTCTGGATTAGACAGAGGGGAGTGAAGGGAGGAGAAGGGATATGGGGGTAGGAATGATAGTAGAATGAATCAGACCTTATTACCCTATGTGCATGTATGATTACATGAACAGTGTAACTCTATATCATGTTTGACCAGAAGAATGAAAAGTTATACTCCAAGTATGTATGATGTATTCAAAATGCATTCTATCTTCTAAGGTCTTCTTAAATTACGTTTTTTATTGTTTTGTAGTTTTCATTGTAGAGGTCTTTCACCTCTTTTGTTAGATTGATTCCCAAGTATTTCATTTATTTATTTTGAGACTATTGTGAATCATACATTGCTGTGAGACTGGAAGTTGGAGCAACCACTATGGAAAGCAGTATAAAGATTTCTCAGAAAACTTGAAATGCAATCACCATTTGACCTAGCTATCCCACTCTTTGGTTTATACCGGAAGGACTTAAAATCAGCATAGTACAGTGTTGCAACCATATCAATGTTTATAGCAGCTCACTTCACAATAGCTAAACTATGGGACCAACCAAGGTGTCCTTCAATAGAGGAATGGATAAAGAAAATATGGTGTGTGTGTGTGTGTGTGTGTGTGTATGTGTGTGTGTGTGTATATATATATATATATATTCAATGGAATATTATTCAGCTTTAAATAAGAATGAAATTATGACATTTGCTAGTAAGTGGATGGAGTTTGAGACTATCATGCTAAGCGAAATAAGCCACTCCCAGAAAAACTAAGGCTGAATGTTTTCTCTAATATGTGGATGCTAATTCACAACAAGGGGGGGCAGTGCTAGGGAAGAATAGAGTTACTTTAGATTAGGTAAAGGGGAGTGAAGGGAGGGAGAGGATATAGAGATAGAAAGGACAGTAGAATGAAACAGACATTATTCCCTTATGAACACATATGACCACATGACTGATGTGATTCTACAACATGTAAAATTAGAAAAATGAGAAATTCTATCCCATTTATGTATGGTAAAACAAAGTGCATAAATGCATTCTATTTGTCATGTATAACTAATTAGAACAAATTTTTAAAAATGCATTCTATGTCATGTAGAACTAATTAGGATGAATAAAAAGTAGCACTGAATATTAAAGCTGACATTCTTGCTCTCTGATGTATTCATTCAGGAACATCACTATGTCCCATGTATAAGCTAAAGTCATGTAGCATGAGAGAGTCACAAGATCATTGTACAACATAAATATTCAAATTTGTACTGCCAACAACATGCTTTGCTTTTATGTTGTGGGAGTCAGAAAACAAAATATAACAGGGCTTGCTTATTGGAATATAAATTGAAAAGTAAATTATAATTTAAGGGGCTAGGGTTGTGGCTCAGCGGTAGAGTACTTGCCTCGCATGTGCAAGACCCTGGGTCCGATCCTCAGCACCACATAAGAATAAATAAGGGTAGAAATGAATTACAGTAGATGGGGTAGAGAGAGAAGATGGGAGGGGAGGGGAGGGTAGGGGGGATAGTAGATGATAGGAAAGGCAGCAGAATACAACAGAGACTAGTATGGCAATATGTAAAACAGTGGATGTGTAACCAATGTGATTCTGTAATCTGTATACGGGGTAAAAATGGGAGTTCATAACCCACTTGAATCAAAGTGTGAAATATGATATGTCAATAACTATGTAATGTTTTGAACAACCAACAATAAAAATTTTTAAAAAAAGAATAAATAAGTGAAATAAAAGTATCGTGTCCAACAACAACTAAAAAATAAATATTTAAAAATTTAAATGTAGGGCAAAAATTCATTAAAAAAATGAATGAAAAATGAGAAGGAGAAAAAAATCACTGGGTCCTGAAACTAACTAGGTAATATGGAAAACTCCATGCCTCATGGTATATATAACACGGCAGGCTTTTAAGTTCACACCTATCGTAACTGGTGTATTCAGTTATAATTTATTTGAGTATTTTGGAACAAATCTATTTTAAAAACATTTACTAAAATTAACAATGATTATCTTTGTTGTTCATTCTGAACAAATAAATGTCTACCTTTTTGAGTTCTCTAACAATAGGGAAATACAAAGAAAGGGTTATAAGTTTGAGCTCTCCTACCAAAACTGACCTGAATTTGAGTCTTAGATCTCTCACTTACTATGCTGTCCTTCTGCAAATCACTGAACTTATTCTTTAATTCTTGCTCTGAGAATAAATGAAACCATGCATATAGAATGCTCTGAGGAGTGCCTGAAACACTCACTGTTAGATATAAATGTCAGATCAATAATTGTCATTATAAAAGGAACTTATGATCAATTATCCAATACTTAAGTATATTAGGATCAGTAAAATAAATTTTAATATATAAACTGATACAATATAAGTTAAGGTAGATATGCTAAGAAAGGGGGACTAAGGGAGTATAAACATGTAACAATTTGAATTTTTTAGAATTCCAAATTCTAACACAAAAATAGAATCGAAGACAAATCTTAAAAATTGTTTTAGGTGCAAAAAGCATACCACTTGTGGAAGATTTTACAGTATTAGAAATTACTCTGCATGGGAGATCCAATAGGAATACTGAGGAAATATAGATACAAAAATTGGCAGGTAATGTTGGGCTCTCCATTTTTATCTTTCTACATACGTATCTTTTGTCACAGTGCCTCAAACACTCCCTAGCACCATAAATACCACATAAGTATTTGAAACAGCATCTCCACGTCAGCTGGCTTTTATGAAAAAATCTTTTGTGACATACCGAGGCCTTGCTTTTTAGCTTCCTGTCTCTAGTAGTCTTTCCTTTTTTGTTGCTAGTAAAATAGTGCAAGGTTCCATATTCCATCAAGGCTGCAAAAACAAAAATGAAACACACAGAAACAAAGAGATCCATCGCAGTCACGTAAGAAACTTTAGGTAAAGACTTCCTGGCAATTGTACTCAGGGTTGTCATAGTCAAAACGGTAGTGATACCTATGGAGAGAGGGGGAAAAATAGATTAAAAACAATTTAACACACCACTTTACTTTTCCATCTGATCTGGCAATATTTTGAGCTTAAATAAACAATGGAAACAAAAGAATATGATTACCAGGGATTTACAGAAAGAATTACTGGTAACCATGGCTACGCTATGTTCAATGCGCTTTTTGTGTCTGTGAATTTTAGTCATTTAAATTACTGTGGGCTGCAAATTAATGCCTGATACCCATCCTTCTCTTTCTCCATAGTAATAAAATACCAAGTTTTAAACTAGTATGTTGTTGCCTGGAAGAACAACTTTATTTGCCACCTTCTCAGCAACAGAGTGTAACCACAGGCTAATACCTAGCCAAGGAGACCTGAGTCAATGGAAGCAGTCTAAAAAAACGGTATTAATGAACTGGGAAAGGCCTTTCTTTCTCTCCCTCAGGAACTGTTCTGCCAGAATGCAATGGGTGGAGAGCCTGTCATCATCTTAGACCAGCAAATGATCCTTGGAATTCAGATCACCCATGACTCAGAGGAAATCTAAGAGCCTGAATTCCTCCTACCGCAGTGTACCATCACCTTGCACTACCTACCACTGGACTTGCACAGGAGAAACAAATACCATTCTACCTAATTGGAGAACAGTTATTGAAGGTTTTCTGCTATATGTGGTTAAAATGAATCTAAATGAACATAGAGCCTTCTTATTTGATAAATTGACTTCAACCTACTTTTTAACCACAGAGTTTAAGTATCCAGGCATAATTATTTAAAGTGAATACTTCAGAAGGACGAGGTAAAGATTTACATTTTTAGGCACTCAACATGTGGAATAGGAATAAGTGCAAGAGCCCTACCTCAGTGTCCCAGGGTGTTGTCTTTGGACATAACTGCATCTCTTTACCCATTGGCTTTCTTGTGGTTCCTGCCATTAATCTTAGGTCCTATTATGGTTTACATATGAAGTGTCTTCCAAAAGCTCCTGTGATAATCACTGAATGTCTGGAGGTGAAATCACTGGACTGTGGTAACTGTAGCCTAATCAGCTCATCCTAGTTTGAATGGGCTGAGTGGGAATTGTAGGCAGATGGTTTATGACTGGAGGAGGCTGGTCACTAGGAGGAAGCCCTCAGAGGGTACATATTCCCTATGGCCCCTTCTTTCTCTTTGCTTCCTGGATGCTATGAATGCTGCCCCACCAGGTCCTTCCACCATCACCTTGGTCACCTAAATCACAGATGCACTTTCTAGGTCTCTCTTTGCCTAAACTGCTACAATTTCCCTTCTTTAGCACACTATATATGGCTCTATGGTTGGCACTGTTTACTCTTCAAAGTACTACATATAATGCTAAATGCTTCTTAATTTGGCCAATATTTATAGAATGACAACATTCATGATAATAAAACAATAAAGCTGTAGCAACAGCCTCTTTGTTATGGTGAAGGCAGTAACTACCATTTTCCATCATGTTGCTGTGTAACAATTCCTGTGACATGTCTATCTTTCTAGTTTTAACAGTTCTTAGGATTGGAACAGAAAATGTCACAAGTGCGTTGGAAACGAATACAGAATTAATTCTTGACCCACCTATTATCTTTGTAATCTTAAGGAAATTTTCTTACTCCTATGCTTCTCACCTAAAAAACTAGCACAGTAATACCTTGCTTGATACCTATAATCAATATATAAAAAGTAATTAATTTACTTATTCTTAAAATGGATACTTAGGTTACTGATTTTAAATCTTTATTCATTTCTAATATTAGTATTTAAAACTATAATTTCTAATCTAAGTAGTGTGTCAGCCTCATACTTCATTAATCACGGTTCTAATGCCACCTCTGCACAAAGATTTATATAGACACCACACTGCATAATAGCAAACATTATGTCCACCTATATCCCACCTGAATTTATGCTATGTTCTATTAAAATTCAGGTTGAAATATTGTCTAACTTCCCTTTGTTCCTTACTCGACCCAAAGGTTACCTAAAAGTTCATTCTTTTTAAAATTTTAAAACTTTGAGGACATTGTTAGTTACATTATGTTTATTAACTTTTAATTTACTTTCATTTTTGTTCAAAAATATGCTCAGGAAAACTTGAATCTTTTGAATTATGTTGAAATCTTGGTTAATGTTCCATATGCATTGGAAAATATATTATGTACTGAAGTTAGTTGCTGTGTCTAGTAAATATAAATCAGTTCATGCAGTTGGTAATCTCATTCAGATCTTCTACATCTTGAATGATTTTTTTTTCTTCACTAATTGAGAAGGGGACCTTAAAATGTCCAATTACAATTGCAAAGTTGTCCATTTCTCTCATTATTCCTGAGAATTTTTACTTCAATTATTTTGAAACCAAAACTGCATTCTAAAGGTTTTGCATATGGTAATGCTAAATAAGTTCAATGAATGCAAGTATCCTTTTTTCTTCAACTTCCACACTTCTTTTTGCTGGGGGGTGGGGGTGAGTAGTAAATTACAAAGACCCCATAATCAAACAAAAGAAGATTTCTCTGTCCTATCTCTACTTAAAAGTCACAGAGTCAATGTGTGCATGTATTTTATTATCAATGATTATATTAAATTTTACTTTAATAAAACACTATTATATTTCTGTTTAATAAAGCAAGGAAAACCACAGTACAACTTAGCTTTCAGAAATGTGTTTCTCTAATTTAGCAATTAATATCACAGTGATTAAATTGAGAAGACCATGATGGATTTCCTATTAAGGTACCTCTGAACTTATGCTAATAAAAAATGTTTGGAATATTAACAGGACAAGAAGAAACCAATTCAGATATCATTGTTATTTTCTCCATGGATTCCTCTGGTCAAGAGCCTATGATAATCTCCCATCAAGTGTGGAAAAAAATCCAAGTTCCAAAAGTAGCTCACAAAGACTTAAATGATCCAAGCACTGTCCACTCTCCAATCTCATCTTCTGACACTATTCAGTCAGTTCTAGCCACACCTGTCATCTTTCTGAACATCAAGCTTACCCTGACAGGTTCTTCTTGCCTTGATTATTCTACCAAATATCGATCAAGTACTTCACCATTAGATCACTATTCAAATGCCACCTCCACAGAGGACTCTCTGGACACCACACCATGGTATAGCAAACATGTCCACCCACATCTCTTGTAATTTTCTGACCATTTATTTTCTTTCTTTTCATAGCCTTTATCACTCACTGAAATGTTACATTCTTTTCAAATTTGATCATTATCCTTTTCTACATTGAAAAGTCCCACTCACACAAACACTTTATAACTTTTGTTTTTTGTTAGGACAGCACCAAGAACGCTGTTTCACAGAAAACATTTCATAAATGTTAAAATGCAATGTTGAATAAATTACTTCAATAAATTGTCCCTCAACAAGATGTAAACATACATATGAACGCTTATAAAATTAATTACAACTTCATAGGGCTCAGAATTATAAGAGGTATACTTTAAGTTTGATCTAGTTATGTCTATCTTGACAAATGCTAGTATTAAAAATATATGAATTCACGTAAATCCATAAAATTGGATCTGCTCTTTTATGACACCATAGCATATGATTTTTTTAATACAAATTCAATAGTAGAAACAATCCACTCAAATTCTCTTTGGAAAAACAATATGAAAATAAAAGCAAATATACTATGTTAACTTATAATTGTAATAGTATATAAAGAAACTATAATAATGAAAGTGCTTTAAAATAAAATAATTTGAAATAATAGAAAGAAATAACACTTATGAACAAGTACTTAGAGTCTCAAGAAAAAGGCATTTCTAGAGCTACATGTTTCAGGTTTTATTGCTGCCACTTTTATGTGAATTGCAGTTCACTATTTATTAAATGGAGTTATTTGCCATTTATCAGAGAATTCACATGAAAACTCTACCATAAAAATAGCAATTGTCTCAAATGTCTTTATGTTTTTAATACATAATTATCAGTGGATAATTATTCACACACAGTTAAGATTCATATTTTAGACTGATCTTAAAAATAAATCAATAAATTTTCTTTGCGTAGAAATACATGAATATAGATCATCACTTTCAATCAAAAATATATGGTAGTTAGTCCCTGATTTCCTCAAATTATTTGTTGCTGCAATAGATTACTATAAAAAGAGAAAAAAATCCATTTTATTCAGTATGAATTACAAATTACTCTTTAAACAGCAACCTTCAAATATTCACAGATTAATTGCTCATTTTATATATTGCATAAGCTAGGGAGTTTTTTGATCCTTCTAGGTACCTGCCCTGTGGAACATCTGACTATTCATTTGAAACATTTGAGGAAAGAATTTTATATACATGCTGATTATTAGTGGTAAAATAAAACTTATCAAAATCATTGAAAATATTTACCAAAATGAGATTTAGATATTTATTTAGAGATTTTCATTTATTAATTCTTATTGTGAACTGTATTTCCTTTGACCTCCTTCAGCATGAAAAATAAGGAATTTTCTAAAAGCTCAAGTTCTTTACTTTCTTTATTTTCTACTTGTCTTTTATAGATTTATTTCAAATGGTATTTCAATAGAATTTCAGTACATTTCCCCCTTGATTATGGTCTAGAGGAATATTTCTAGTATTTTCTCCTGTAGACTTTTATTAGAATATTTTTTTAAAATCCTCTGATAATATAGCATAATATTATATATCATACCCAGTGATGTTCTTGCAGGTACTGCATCTTTATTGATCCAAAAAGACACCCAAGAAAGAACAACTGTAAGAATGCATGGGATGTAGGTCTGGATAGTGAAATATCCCATTCGTCTGCTCAGGTCAAAAAAAATTGTCATGATAATATAATCGCCTGGAAGAAAAATACATGTTTTACTTTGGCTAGAAAATGCATAAAAGTATATATTTCAATTCATATACTTAAATGCCAATGTCATTCTCTACTAGCATAATTCACCAATTTTTTTTTTATCCTTACCAGAGATTGTGTGAGAGATTTCAGTTGTGTTCCGTAACCCTACAAATGCAAACTGATATAATCTCCAGTATTTAGGATCAGCCACTTCCACAGAGGGCTTTTTCCACTTATATTCAATTTCATTTTTAGGATATCCATCTGGAAGGAAAATTGAAATAAAAAATATATAGATTAGAAAGTTCCAAAGCTGCTAACATTGCAATACCAACATTATCCAAAAACCAACTCTTGGAGATTCTTCCCTTGTGTGTTATTATAAGATATACCAAATATAGAAAAAAACTGAATGAAATATGCATGTTTAAAGCATAATCATATTTAACAGTTATTTCACCCTATATATTAATATCACAGCCAACTTATATTTTAGTCCTTGGAATTTGGGAGTGGGGACACTTCTTCAGTGATCTAAAGTATATAACATTTTATATCTCAGATTTATGTAAAGATTTTATTATATTAGAATTCACCCCACAAGACTGTCAAAACCAAAGCACAGAATTCCCATGTTTTGAAAATGTCCCTAGGTCACAATTGCCTGCAAACTTATCCTTCTGAATACAACTTTTTATGTGAATTTTTTTTTTGGTGGACAAACATAACTTCCTATTTTTGATTGCTCATCTGTGTTTGGAAATATTTTAATACTATGAAATTTCTAATTGTTTCCGCACAAGGAGTTCTGTACCATATTTCAAAATCAGAATTCAAAAATATTCTAATATTTCCAAAATAGTATATTATTTTGCAGGATCTCCTATTGGTAATACAATAAATTTGCTTTCATCTCTGCTGACCTATTTAAGAATGTTTTCCTTTTTGCTCTCCAGGTCTGTGGTTACAGTGCTTTTCCATAGTTCCTATTCATTATAATCACAGAGATAGTTGAGTGAAAAGTGATAACATATAGGAATGTGAGTACAAATAAACATGGTTATGTAGATACTTAACCTCTCTGACTCTCAAGACATTGACCTTAAATTGGGGCTAGAGTAAAATCTTATACAAATCTTTGTTGTGAAATATTAGAGGTAGAGGCTAAATTTTCTACTGAGCCTGAACAGAATACCTGACAAAGGAAGTTAGGATAATTGTATTGTGTCATTGACACCCAATTGCATTTACAGGGATGGATTATTCATTTCCAGTAATGGCAAGCAAAGTCAAAGCAAATCACAAGATTTTAAGAATGTCAAATAGGGGAAAGTGCACTAAATGCTACATCATCCAATATTTACATGTCAACTCTTCCTTGATAATTCCTATTTATCAAGTCTTTTGCCCTGATTTAGCTGTCTTTATACATTGAGTGAGATATAAGATCATTAATATAATAAAATAAAATTTATGAAGATAATCCAATAAAATCTTTAATAAAGGGCAACAGAGATATTTAGAATTTACTAAGTGAAGAGGTAGGGAAATACTTATGAGTAAATACCTGTATCACAATCTACTAAGAATAGGTTCTAGAATGTAAACTGTGAAAAAAAAATCCAATTGTGAAGGAAGGAAAACAGCATTAAATGATTTGTGGATATAGGCAATAGCATTTTTTAAAGTCATATATATTGTCTAATTATTTTTTAGATCAGTATTTTCCTAAGAATATATGAGAATACATTTTTATAAGCATAAAATAAAATTAATATTGCAATAAAAATATATAACTTTTTTTTGAATAAAATTTTAGGTTCAATTTAGTTAGTTCTAATCACTCTTGTGTTACATTTATTCCCTTTAATTAAAAAAGCTCATCTCCAACTCATTAAAGTCTTTCAAATATTTACTTTCATGTAGTAAATACTCTTCACCCAAATAATTTTTGAAACATTTTAAAATCCAAGGCAATAAATTTAGATGCTGCCTCCAGCAAAATGAATATACTTTGAATCAATTTTTCTTTACTCTGTAAAAATATGTGAAAACAAACCTATCTTAAGAATTCCTTTATTTATTCAAGCTAAGAAATATAGACTTGCATACACTGAAAGTTGTAAAGATGATTTAATAAAACGTATATACATTCACTACCTATTTATTGTCTTTTAGTTTAAAAGCAAGGAATTAATGTACTATTTGTAATTGTTTTATCTAAGAGAGTTGAATATAATCCACTCTTCTAAAAACTGTCTTTTTTTCTCATTTTGCTTTACATTTTTAAAGAAATGATATTTGAGACTAAACTGTATGAAATTATCAAGTATTTTCTGACTTACAGCTTGAAAATTCCAGTGGACAAGAATGTTCATCCATAGGAAAGTTATGAAGCTGAAGGTAACATTCTGCATTAATTGTCAATCTATATTTAGATGAAAAGATAAATATTAAATAAAGACAATTTTCCATCATTAGACTCTCTTGTCTAATTTTAAAGCATGATTTGAGACCACAATAATGAAGTATGTAGGATTAGAATGTAATAATCTTTTTTAAAATCTCAAAGTCTTAAATGATATTATAACATTCATAGTTAAATATGAAAATTCTAACGTTCTCTTTTCCAGCCAATCAGATCACTTCTGTATATATTTTAATAAAATCTTGGTACTTAAAAAGTCATACTTCACCATATTTTTATAATTATATTAAAACAGATTCAACTTCATGTATTACCAAAAAGAACCAATACAAAAATAATAATAGCTAAAAAATTTATAGTTCAGGATCTTCACCAATACATATGCACATATACAGGCATACATACACCAGATTAACAAATTGTACATAGTTAAGTGTTATGAAGTTTTTCATCTTAATATATCGGGAATATTTTCCCATTAAGAATGTTTTTGTTTTGTTTTGTTTTGTTTGTGTGCTGGGGACTGAATCCAGGGCCTTGTGCATTCAAGCCAAGCACTCTACCAACTGAGTTATATCCTCAGCCCCAAGAATGATTTTTAATAAGTAGATATCTTCAAGGAAATGAACTAAATATATTTGAACCTTGCACAGCAAACTTATATGTCAATCATTTCTTGAGGAATTTCTAGTACTTTCTTAAGTATGTTTTATTAATTGAGGTTGTTTGAAATTCAGATTATACAATTTTATAGCAAGATTGGATGCTAGAGAAAAATCTCAGTAATTTGCATTACAGGTTACTTTTCACATAATAGTAACCCTGAGATTAAATACTGCCAAAACATTTCAGGATTTTAGATTTTAGCAGAAGAAAAAGAGCTACACATTTCCTAAATTTGCAAGTTGGAAGAAGGAGAAAATGCAGACACTAATTAATTATTAGTTTTGAAAATAAATTAGAGCAACTACAAATTTTTCAAACAATATTACCTGAGAGTATATAGAACTCGCCCATCATTCCAAATCCGCAGCAGGCGATTCGGAGTTGTTATCCAGTGTGCATCTGATTTTCTTGAGTTTCTGAAAAAAGTGTCAGGAATCCAAATTTTTCCAACCATATTACTGTTAAGCATGAGCACTTTCATGGTACTATTGAACTTCAAACGGCTGTCAAACCAGGTTTGGGCAAAAATTATATCAATTGTGTACTCCTAAGGGATAAAAAGAATAATAATAACATATTAGTAAAGCCACCATTTTAGGTGTTTTTTTTTCAAAAGTTTAAATTTTCAAGTTATAAAGTTCCTGCTAATTAATAGCACTTAAGCTCAATATTTTTAGAGGAAAAAAAATAGCCATTTTCTTAACTTTTCCTTTAATTGTGTATGTGGATTATATAAAATAAAAGTCAAGACTTCTGGCAATTTCTACTGCCTGGTATTGTTTTATTTCCTTCTAGTTTATACCTGTTATTCAAATTTTTGTCATATGTATGATGTAGCCATTAAAGTTAAAAGTAAACTCACAAATTTGCTTTAAAAAATAAATTTATCTTTTCAGCAATGTTACTAATTTGTGGTATTTATATAATGATTACATCACAAAAAAATCACAATTAAGTACAAATTTAAGAGGAAAATAGCTACTAAATTATCTAGAAGGCTTATTCTAAAAAGCTAATTTCTTAATTAAGTTTTTAGTCTGAAAAATTAACTCCAATTATTTAGGTCTACTGGTTTCAAATGTTTTCAAGTTACCACATATAAGTCCTTTGAGCAATTATAACACATGAAACACTATGTTAAGAGTTTTCCTTGTCTCATGCATGTCACTAAATCTTTCTCAATACCTAGGAAATTTGCACTACTATCATCTTTATTTTTCAGTAACATTTGCTGATTAAAATAAAGGCAGATTAATTCTACCCACATCACAGGGTTAATAATTGGCTTATAGAGAAACTGAGCCATTGCAAGACTGAATTCCATGCTCAACTCCATATCACATACATGCTATGGTGCTTCAAAAGTGAGGCTGATGATTCCAAGAGTGGACAGACTGGGCATAATCAGCAAGTAACTATTAACAAAAAGTCGCTCAGTTAGAGAACAGGAGGAGGTAACTAGGTATTATTTACCTTTGTATCCTAAATGTCTGCTATATTATAAGCATTAAAAGTTACTCAAAATAATTAATGAATAAGAATACAGTAATAGTGCTATGAAGATAGGGAATTAAAAAGATGTGCGTGTGTGTCTGTGTGTTCATAACTTAGAAATTAAGAGAACAAAAAATAAACTGAAGAATATAAGCTATTACATGAGTTACTTGTGGGAGAGCCTAGTTACCTGCCCTTGACAGGATATTTACAATCAGTGGCCAATTTGTGAAATATTTAATATAACAAATGGAAGTATAATTGGGAGTTTGATTAATGAATGAAAACATTTTTTAAAAGTGTCAGGAAGACTAATATGTGAGGGCTAAGGCTCAACTTATGAATATGGAACTTGGAATTTGCTTAACTGAAATATAGAGATAAATTGAGAGGGAAACTGTATTTCATCTATTTTCAATGAGCAATGTTGCAATTTGGAAAAGCAAATATATACTGAAATCCAACAACAGCCCACATATTATGTAATTAAATGTGATATGTTATTTATTATGGTATTATATGTATTAATATGTAATAATTTATATATATATATAATGTAAGTAACTGTATTATAAGTATATGAACTATTATGTATGATTTTTTTCATATAATGATGTAATATGCAATTATTCAATATATTTAGCATCTATTGCATGCTGATTATTGTTTTGTGTGGATGTAAAGACATAAAGTCTGTGCACAAAATTAAATTTTCATTGTGACCCTCTCATCACATTTTATTGGTTGTCATGTGATAATTAAAACTTTGACTTTTTTTAATGTCAGTGTGGCACAGAATCCAACTGTGCTGAAAGTATTTTTGTAGCCATGTAAGCTTTGTGATTTCCATTGCCACAATTTTGCTAATATACTGTTTGTAACTTGAGTGGAGACATAAACATATGACATAATACATGCTAATGAAGCATATTTATCCAGGAGATGCTTAATTATCTTACTGAGTAATATTAATGTAGCAGTATATAATGTGTGCCGTCATTCAGTACGGCTAATGGATCACTATATACAGTATCACTGGTGTAACTAATGTTATCAATAATTCCTATTGTGGCCCCCTTCTCAGGCTTGATGTCATTTAAAATTTTTTTAGTCAATTATGATTTATTCAGGTAGCCACTTCATCTGAAAGAAATGATTAACTCTTTAGAATCTAACAGCGAAACCATGCTAATGACATGACTTTTGTTTTAGTTGTAAATGTGAATAGAAAGAAACCTCATTGTTGTGGTTTAGATATGAGGTGTCCCCCCAGAGCTCATGTGTGAGACCACACAATAAAATGTAGAGGTGAGATAATCAGGTTTTGATAGCCTTAACCTTATCAGTGCATTAATTCTCTAATAGGTATTAAATGGGCAGTGACTGTATACAGGAAGGGTATGGTTGGAAGAGGTCGGTTTCTGGGGACGTGTTCTTGGAGTTTATATGTTGTCCATGGTGAGGGGAGTTCTCTCTGATTCTTTTGGGGGGAGGGGGCAGGTATTAGGGATTGAACTCAGGGGCACTCAACCACTGAGCCACATCTTCAGACCTATTTTGTATTGTATTTAGAGACAGAGTCTCGCTGAGTTGCCAAGTGCCTCACCATTGCTGAGGCTGACCCTCCTGCCTCAGACTCCCAAACCTCTGGGATTACAGACTTGCACACACCCAGCTCTCTCTGATTCTTGATTGTCATGTCCTGAGCTGTTTTTCTCTGTCACACTGTTGAGCTGTGGTATTCTGCCTTACTTCCAGCCACAGCAAAAGAGCCAGCCATCTACAGACACAGACCTCTGAAACTGTGAACCCCAAAGAAATGTTTCCTCTCCTAAAACTGTGCTTGTCAGGTCTTTTAATCACAGCAGAGAAAAAGCTGACTAAAATATTCATTCTATTGAATATCCTGGAAAGAACAATTAGTTAATGATATTTGGCAGAATTGTGTCATATTTTTGGATGGGATGAAACAGCAGAAACCGCTTGAGACACCTGTCAGGATTATGATTTGGCCACTACCCAATATTGGGTGATAGAGAGAACCTCATTTTACTTGGTAGGTATATTTAACTGCAGTTTTCCTGACTAACAGGACATTTAATGTGGTTTCTGAAAACTGATTTGTCTAGAGGTATAACTTCACTAGCAGTTGTGGATACTGCTTAGAATCTATTAAATTTATGTATTTGTTTTTATGTATGTATGCATGCATGCATGTATGTATGTTGTGCTGGGGATCTATCCTGGGGCCTGCACATACTAGGTAAGCATTCTTTCACTTGGTTATTTTTCCAGCCCAGGACTTTCTTCAGAACACTGACTTCTAAAAGTAGTCAGCACTGTTGGAAAGGTTATAACTTCCAAGAAGTCAAATTTTCCTTAGCAATGCATCTTGAAGGAAAGTGAAGTTTTCAGCCCACAGTTATTTCTTCAATGTAAGATTAAAGAGTGAAAGATGCAGAGCATATGTCTTGATAATCCATCCTTCCTAAAGCCTCGAAGAGGCTAATATACCCAAGCCCTTTTAACTTGCTAATCCTGAATAAATGCTTTATTGAGATAAGAAGGTCAATCAAGTCTGAACTCTTTTGTAAGTAATCAAAAAATCCAACTTCATTTAATCATTTGTGTTAAGGGGAATTTTCAGAAAATGATCAAACTATGTTCTCATGTATTATTTTCCTATTTTGAGGTTATAATCATCTACATAACAAATAAGAAGAGGAAATATGAAATGGGACTTCTATTCACTCAGAACAAGCACAATATTTCCTAGGGTAAATGTTTTGAAATAAGAAATAGTGCATTTAAAACTTGAGATCCAATGCACTTTATATGCTTTGCTTATCTCCTTGCAAGTTAACTGACAAAACAGCATTAGTGAAAAAAAATGTGAGAAGTGGGTCATCCTGATCTCTAAGTTAACCAATTCAAATTATAAGCACTGAACAATTCATGGTGTCATTTTATTAATACATTGTCAGCTTTGCAACTATGCACTACATCTCACATTTTTAAAATGTTAACTCAATATTATAGTCTTTTTAGTAATCGGAGAAACTTCATACAAAATATAAGATTTGCTTAGCCAACTAACATAGATGCATACTTTCATCATAAAGTTTGATTGACCCTGATCTGATTTTTCCACTTTGCATTAAACTCTCCCTAAACTGTCTAATCACATGGTAAAGTTAGAATGGTAGGCTAAATTATGGTTAGCAGGAAATGAGATATTAAAGATAGAGACATGTAGAGAGAATGTAGCTAATCCACAGCACAAGGAGTTTTACAAATGTCCATAATATCATCTCTATTTTTCTCAAGTAAAAAAAAAAAGCCATGAACCCTGAATTCAGCTAATAAAGTGTTGTGTTTTTGTTTCCGGTGTTCCAATTACTTCTACATTGTGCTTGTCTTGCATGGATAACAATAGGACCTCTTGGTATGAATTTATACATAAAAATTGGGAATCCATAAAACTTAAGAAAGGTATATATAAAGTGAAATCAAAGTAGAGATTATTTTCAGTTATGGGATATTAAGACAGATTTCATGATGCAAATTGTATTTAGGCTGGGGATGTGGCTCAGTGGTAGAGCACTTGCCTAGCTTGTGCAAGGGCCTGAGTTAAATCCTCAGCACCACAAAAAAAATAAATACATAAAATAAAGGTATTGTGTCCAACTAGAACTAAAAAGTAAATATTAAAAAAAAAGAAAATTGTATTTGACCAGAACCTTGAAGGACATAGGAACATTCAGATACATACTAGGATTAATTAATAAATGGAGAGGGACAAACAGTACAATGCAGGGCATAGCTGAGTGGTAGTGCATGTCTGTAATCCCAGTGGCTAGGGAGGCTGAGGCAAGAATTTCATAGGCTCAAAGCTAGTCTCAGCAATTTAGCAAACTGTGAGCAACTAGTGAAACCCTGTTTCAAAATAAACAATTAAAAAAAAAAAAACAAGGGGATGTGGCTCAGTGGTTAAGGACCCCTATGTTCAATCCCTGGTACCAAAAGGTGGGGAAAAAAAGAATGAAAGAAAGA